CTGCTGCCCGACACGTCCAGCGAGAGAGCCGACGCCCATCGCCAGTACTGGAACTCCTCTCCGGGGATAATTTTGCGGCGCCCCCCGGTGGTGGTGGTGTGTGTGTGGGGGGGGGAGAGCAGGGTTTGGGGGAAAGGTACGTTGAATGATCGGTTACAGCGCGGGTAGTGCATTACACCAAATACCACTGGTGGTGCTGTAGAATGCATGGTACGCACCCACAAGGTCGATAAAATGTACCGCAAAACATGACATTCGATGTCAGAGAGAGTCTACCGGTACGCGATATCTCATCAAGCGCTTGCACCGAAAGTTGAACACGACAATAGGCGGCGTCTCGGCGCAGCAACCGAAGCCACTCATCATCACAGGGGACCACCGGAGGATAAGGGAAGGACCAGAGGGTTCGAGAAAGCAGGAAGGCCTTGATACCATCCCCGGGAGTTCCACTCGAGGGATTTTTGCGGGCTGTCTGTGAGTCTATGGAATGCCGCCGACGACACAGCCGCTTCATGGTAGCGCTGGCGCTCTCCGAAGTCTAAAAACAGTAAATGGCAGGAGCAGTCAGTCATACACAAGGGAAGAGAGGCTAAACTTTCATCGAGAGTCTGAGGCGCAAGGCCGTCTGGGCAAAATTTCCAAATCGTAAAAGTCAGAGGACCGACCGCATGTCTGCATCTGTCTTCCTCTAGCGGTGATTTGTCGGGTCAGGGCAAGGTAGGTTACGCCAAGAGGCAGGCCTTGAATGAAGCCCAGGGCTTCGGGCTAACGCTAACGCGGGCGGTCAGTAACCGGCACAAAACGAAGGCTAGAGAACACGACTGCTGCTGACTTGACTTGTCAGTCGCCATTCTAACATTATAACACAGGCAGGGTAAATGACCGACACACACATACACACACGCACCGAGACTGGTGTCTTTTCATTGGTCAGCCGGTTAGCGTGGTCGATGCTAACAATAAAAGACACAGACAAACACACACACACACACACTCACACACACACACACACATGAGAGAGTCGTATTAGCATTCGCATTTAGCGCATTGCGCATTTCTCGAATTTTGGTCCCCTTCCAGGGACCTTGATTTGTACCCGCTGGCACTGACGTTTTTTCATTGGTCAGCCGGTTAGCGCGGTCGATGCTAATAATAAAAAAACACACACACACACACCTGATACACCCGCCATCCTTGAGAACCACGGTCACGCTAGCCTTGCTCGCGAGCGCGGCCGCCGCCGCACTCCCACCCGCCGCCCCGCCGCCTATCCCCACCATCCCCCCGACGCCTCCCCTGGCTCCCGCCCCCCCGCTAGCCGCAGCCGCTTCCCTCACAATCGTACTCCAAACTTCCCCCGCGGCGGACTCGACCTCCGCTGCCCTCTCAGCCGAGGGAGCCACCAGTACAGGGGCGGCGTGATCGGCCCAGTCGGAGCGACGCAGTGGGTCGAACGCGGTGCAACTCGCGACGGTTAGCGGGCCGAAACCTCCGCGCGGGGCAGGGAAGGCGGTTACCGCTAGGGGGGTGACGGCGGTGGAGTCGGGCAGGACCGTGGGGTAGCGAAGGTGGGTGGCGTCCTGACGTTTTTTAAGAGGGGGGTCGTGACGTTTTGGGTCGGGGGGGGGCGGGGGGGATTAGATGGATCACCGTTAGGAAAAAATATGGCACCAATATGTGTATCATGTACAGAGTGAATATGATCCGAACCTCTTCCTCGAGGACCTTAAATAACACCGTATGACACTCCACGCCGGCCAGAAGGCTCAGTTTTCCGCCTTGTCCGACAAGGACTGGAACCCAAACCACGGATGCCTGATGTACGCGGCGATCCCAAGACGGGCGAACTACCCAAACGGGGAAGGAGATAACCAAATCGACCAATCAACCATGATCTCCACTACTCCCAGCATACACTTGGTTGATACTTCATGTGGTTGTTTGTCGAGGGTGTCCTTGTGCAAATACCGTAGGTTGCAAAAGATATCACACCCCCTGGACTGATTTTCGAAGCCCGATATCTCGGCAGGAAAAGCCGTGACGGTGCCGAAAATGGCGGCGTTAGAACCGTCTCGTCGAGAGCTTTCAGAAAACGTATGCTTCGATTTCGGCATCTTCTTCGTCGTGGGGAAAATCGAGCTTTGAAAATCGGTCCAGGGGGTGTGATATCTTACGCCACCTACGGTACTAAGCCCTTGTCTTCATGCACAAGCTCGAAAAAGTCGAAGGCGCACGCTCCTCACGCCGCGGCTACACAAGTACGTGCGCGAGAGGGAAAACCAAGCGGGCCGTAGCTCGCACCTCCATGGTAGTCCTCGCAGCCTCCGCCGGCGCCATCGCCACCGCCAGCAGGCTGCCGACATCGCTCAGGCAGTCCTTGCACACCGACGCCCCCGGCCTCGCCGCCTCGTCCCCCTCCCCCCACCCCCCGACCGTGCTCCTCCGCCCGCCGTCCACAAACCTAACGCTGGCGGCGCTACTCCTTCGCCCGCTCGCGAGCGTGCTGCGCCTGCCCCCCAAAGTCCCGACGCTGCTTTTCCTCAGGATCCCGCCGCCGCCGCCGCCGCCGCAGCCTCCTCCGCCGCCGCCGACACCACCCACCCCGCCGCTGGCGAATCTCTCCAGCGCCGGCCCCTCCAAGAACTTGGTCACGATGGCGCTGACGCCCCTTGTGGCAGGGTCCCCTCCGCCGCTAGACCCGAAAGAAGCACCACCGCCACCGCCGCCGCCACCGGTGTCTTCCACCTCGTCCGGGAACACGTCCGCCAGCGTGCTCGCCGCGTGCGCACCGCTCGCCTCCCAGCCCCCGCCGACAGCCCCGGCAACCGACTTCCGGGAGGACTGCTGCCGCCCCCCCCCATACCCCATACCCCCTCCTCCGCGTACCCCCCTCCCGGCCGCGTCTTCCGAGTCGGCAACAGCGAAGGCGGCGAGGGCGGCGTCGGCGGCGGGCGCGGAAGAGGAGGCTTCGGACGTCGTGTCTGTTGCCGTTCGGCTGCGCGGCGGCAGCGGCGGGGCGCCGCCCGTCCCGTCCCGGCCTTGCTTCTGCCGGTTGGTGAGTGTCTGCCGGCGGAAGACGAAGGAGCGCATTGCTCCTTGGAGGAGCCGTGCAGCGCTGTCCACCTGCCGCGGAGGAAGAAAAAAAAAAAAGTGTCAAGGAGCGGGAGGGAAGGAGGGGCGGCGAGGGTTGTCGATAGGGCTGGGTGTTGCCGGAGAGTGATGGCTAGAGAGGGGATCTACTTTGTTTTCAACGGTCGTTCGATCGACGTCGTCTTAGCTTGCTCGGGAAGGTGCGTGTATGTAGAGGGGAACGTCGGTGGGGGAGATGACCTGGTCACTCGCACTCTGCCCCTTCGGCATTCCACTCACCCCTCCCGAAGTGGAGGGCAGTACGGTCGGTCATAGGCGGTGGTGGTGTACAGTAGAGCTCAACCTTTCCACCCTCAAAGGTAAAGGTTCGACATATTTCCACGCTATACTGTAGCTTGAGAACGCTGACCTTTTGGGGCTACATGCCTGTTACCCAAAATAGAGATTTTGCTCTTAGGTTGAGCGATTTCCAACGGGTGATGTCAAAGCCTTCTTTCATGTTCAGGGCGGCGGGAATGCTGTCGTAGGCGATGTTCGCACGACGCGATCGCAGACAGGAGTTGTCTATATCTGTCAAAGCGCACAGCGGCCAACCCCAGGTCCCTAGAGAAGGGTACATCGCCGCGGCGTGTGTATGTACGCGTCTAGTCCGCACCTTTTTCTTGTGGATGGCAACGTGCAGCTGCTGGTCGATGGAGATCTTCAGCCGGACCCCACGAGAGCCGACGCTGCTGCCGGCTTCGTTCCCGCCCCCTTCAACCTAAGGGCGAACGAGCAGCACACGGGCAAGACAAACATAAACATCCCAAGGAAATTGAGATCAAGGGCGCGCGGAGCCTGTTGCAGCGATCGCAACAACATGCAGCACTGGACTCTTGTCGCACGCGTAGCCGAAGACAAAATAATTTGTAAAGACTTCACCCCATTATTTTCGCCTACTGCGGTACTGCCGTTTGCTGGGCCAGCTTTCCTAGCTCAATTTCTTCACGACGTTGGAGATAAAGGTGGCCATATTCCACGAGGAGATAGGTGCCTTTGACTTAAACTTCCAACTTTGACCCGGTTAAGCCACATCGCTTGATTTCCCGGACCGCCTTCGCGGGAAATTAAGGTTTGTGAGGAAATAGAACAGAGAGGGAGTACGCAGACCCAATCCTTCAAACCCTAACCCAACCTTAACTCAACTTCCCCGATTGCATGCTTTACCAAATATGCTTACATAATGACAATCTCTTCGTTCGTAACACTCGCAGGCTGAAACCCTTCGAAGGCTGATGGATTTCTCAACCCCGCCGCTGGCGTTAGGGATGAACCAAGAGTCAGGGCACACCTTGGGTGGACCGCCTATGAGACAGAGAGGGGGGAGGTTGTAACCCGTAACGCCAAACCCCACCACGTATCCCCTACCAAAACCAAGATTAATATCCCCGCGAGGCCTACTGCCTCACGGGAGGGGGGGGGTCGTGTCGTACGCAAGTACGGGTGGGGGTGGGAGTGGGAGTGGGGGTGGGGGTGGGGGTACGTGGATGATACGACCACAGCAGTATACCTGTAGGTTGTACCAGACATCCGCCACGGCGCCCCCAGCGGCGTCGGGTAACTGGAAGGGGTTGTTCACGGGCAGCTTGCTCAGGTTCACGCTCGTCTGTAGGGCACGCAAGGGCAGAGAGACAGGTGGAAGACAAGGCCGAGTACAGTACATCGCTACGGTTCAGCTGAACCGCCGACAGCGAGGAACATTCTAGTCGCAGATAAGTCTGGGTCACGTCGAGTGATAGTCCCTTTGCTCTTCTCTCTCTCTCTCTCTCTCTCTCTCTCCGATTGTCTGTCTTTTTCTAGTCCAACCCCTTTCCTTTCTCCTTATCCCATTCTCTCTGTCCGACGGAGCTTGCGCCTTCTCTCTGAAGCCAGTACAACCCCCCCCGCCCAGCCCCCCCCCCCCCGTAGCCTGGACCGGCCAACACTAAATAGGCGTATCGCTCCGTCCTGGCATTGTAGGATTGCGAGGTGTATGCTCTACCGACTATGACATGCGTTTACACGAAGGAGTACAGCCCCCCTCCGGTTCACGCCAAAAGCCAAGCCATGTATGTGATCAAGCTATGTCATCAAAACCTCTCACCTCTCCCAGGAGTACATCCGCCCCGAGCTCATCTGCATCCCACACCTGCACCACCAGAGATCGCTCCAGGGACAGCAGCGCGAACTTGAACGTCTCGCCCCAGTGCGGCCGGCTGACATCCACCAAAAACCACATGGGGGGGGGGAGGGAGAGAGGATGATGGATTCATTCGTCATCGTTATCGTTGTTGGTGTTGGTGTTGGTGTTGGTGTTGCTGTTGTGGCGTTATTGTTATGTATTCCACTGTTGTTTTGTTGGTGGTGTTGGTGTCGGTGTTACTGCTGACGTTGTTGTTGCTGGTTGCCACACGCAATAGCCTCAAAACACCTGCATGAGCCCTGGGTCACAAAAAATCCAGTCAGCAGAACGCAATAACCGCTTTTCGCCGGAGGTGGTGGAAGCGGTCGGAGTGGGGCACACGTTTCCAAAAAGAATGTGCTCTTAATCGTTTTCATGCCGTCACCATCGAACACTTCAATTCTCGTCCCCACCCCAACGTTCGCTTCTTGCACGATCTCCCGACTCTGGCACAACAGCAATTCCAGACATTCTTCCAATTAGTGCAAAACCAAAGCGCCGACCGTGCCCCCGGTCCCCGGTCTCGTGACCATACCAAGAGGGTCCCGACATTACGGCAACCCCCCCTCCCACCCCCCTCACCCCCTCTCTGTCTCGTCAGGAGATCGAAGATTACGGCCATGCCTAAACGCGTGAGTGTGACAAGCGCAGAAAAGGACCGCCTACGCAAAAGAAAGTAAGATTAATAACGAAAAGAGACCAAGCAGGGGGCACGCAGATCGTAACCCTAACCCCAACTTAGCCGATTCTTTTACTTTTATCTTTTATCCAGCATGTTTGCATGTTTGCTTGCTTAGAAAACCTCCGTAGATACCGGCGCAAAACTTGTTTCTGTGCCGTGAGACGACGCACGTGCTGCACGTGAACACACCATTCCGTTGAGAAGCACCCCCCACCCCCCCCCGCCCGCCCTTCACCTGGTGCTCCTGCACACGCTGGTCTTGTGGGAAGAGCCTCCGAGTCTGAGCCACGCGAACGGATCAGCCGTGAAGATGTCGGAACGCTTGAGGCCCCTCGCCTCTACTACCGTCACTCCGACGGAATAGGGACAAGTGACGCCCGCACCCACTGTTTTTGGTCGTGGTCGATGCGTCAGCCGAAGGAAAGAGACAGCACAATGGAGATAGTTAGGGGGGGGGGGGCGGCGGAAGGTAGCACTACACTTGCGGGCTACGGTTTAAGAGAGATCATTTAAGAGAAAGTACCAATTTAAGAGATTCAAGCTGGCTAGTCACGACCATGGGAAATACATACACTTCACAGTGCGGTTTAAGAGAAAACTGGATTTAAGAGAGAAATACTGGCTGTATTGAAAAGAAGAAGCAAGACGAAGGGTTGTCGAGGGGTAGAGAGAAGGAGGGGGATGAAAGGCCCACGAAGGCGGACTCGTTTCGTAGGAGAGAAACAGACGATAACAGACGATACAGCGACACAGAGCGCGGGTCCCTTATCGTACACTGACAAAACGTTGCTGATTCGCTCCAAAAACGGCCGTTTTCTTCTTCGATCCATCTCGAACACAACACGCCTCGTCTGCCTCCCTCCCGCCCTCCGTTTGCTACTGCCGTCGACAAAAAACAACAGACGGATACACAGAAGGAATGCCGGACATGCGTGTTTTCAAGGTACCGCATATAAACAGAAACCTTGTACTTGTACTGCTGCTGCCGACGAGCTATCGGTCGTCGCCGCACCTGCACCCCCGGCCATGTCCAGATCCTTCTCAGAGGACCAGCCGGACGGAGGGTCGATGAACGTGATCGCGCGGTGCAAGTGCTGGTACCTTCAAGCGGACCAAAGACAGGCGGCGGCAGAGGCGAGTGCAGGAACGGTTGGGGGGAGCGTTGGTGCCTTCGTAAGGCAAACAAAGACAGCAGCCAGAGACCAGCCGAGCATAATCACATGATGACCGGCGGCAGCCGAGGCAAGGATAGAAGTGCGGAGAGGGGGGTACTTGATGTGTGGGTGGTGCCTTCGTAAGGAAAAGACAGCAGCCACTAAAAAACCGAGCACACGAACGATGGGGCGGCCAAGGCGAGCGTTGGAAGGGATGGGTTCGGTTCAGAGGGTGTAGATAGTACGACGTTAGGGCTGGGGTTAGGACATGCGCGGCCAAGAGGCGCTGGCCACGGCCGCCTACCGGCAGCAAGACCGTCTAGCTCATCTGATGTGATCTTATTTTATCCTATCCTATCCTATCTGTGGTTCGTTATCGGCCTCCCTGGAAACACCGCTCTAGCAGCGTCTGCGAACGATTTCAATCGAAGCCCTACTCCGAAACAACCCAATCGGAACACATCTACGCCCTTGCTCTCGGTAGCCTCCTGGTTCCCTTTGCCCCAACCCACAGCACCCACCTTCCCCGCTACTCCTTTGCCAATTGGTCAACGCACCCCTTACAGCATCTCGGCGCACTTCTCGACCCGATTTCCGAGCAATCCCACCGTAACCGAAAAATCTCAGTCTTTCAGCAACAACTTGAAGGCCCGGAAAAAAGCGCATTCTCTTTATGCATGCCTCGACTACGAGACAATGACGACTACTATCTTGCCAGCTTAAAAAACGGAAAAATTGTTCCTGACGGACGATACATAGCCTAAACATATATGTAGCCATTTTGCATCCCCGCCGCGCTCTCCTACCCAACTTCAGATAGACATAAGTCGCGAGGTAGGTATGTTGTGATAGATGAAAATAGCTGCATTCGAAAGCTATGGTCCGTAGCTTTCATTTGATATATAATTTGTTGGGTTTGATGACGGGACAGACCGAGAAAAAAATCAAGATGTGCTGAATCGGGCTCCAGGACCAATACCACTGTAGTCACCTGACGAAGGTCTCGATGGCCTCCTTCACCAACACCGCCAGCGTATCCACGGCCTCTCACCAAACCAACAAGAACATCATCTTCCAGCAAGCAATCAACTTGGAGGCCTGGAAAAACCACATCATCCCAAAATACAGCTTAAATTCAGTCACCTGACGAGGGTCTCGATGGCCTCCTTCACCCCCATCCCCAGCGTGTCCACCGCCTCCTCTGAAACCCCTTGCCCTCCTCGCGCCGCCACCGCCGCCAGCACCATGCCCGGCCTCACCGTCGCCGCGTCCGTGGCCGTCACAAGCGGGGACGGGAGCGCCTCGTGTCCCCCCCCCCCTCCCGGCGAAGACGCCTTCGATCCCGGGGAACGCCCGGCTGCTGCTGCGGCCGCGGAGGAAGAAATTTCTACGGGACTGGTGTTGCTGGTGGCGGTGGCGGTGGCGTTGGTGTGGAAGTGGTGTTTAGTGGCCAGGTTGAGAAGTAGCCGCTTGGCGCGGTCTTTGCGGGTCACCTTCGGCTTGACCTTGAAGGGTGTCGTGGTGGCGGCGGGATTGGTGCCGGTTGGGGTGGTGGCGAACCCCTCCGGCATGGTTGAACCGGCGGGGTTGTCCCTGCTGCCGTCGACGGTTTGGAAGACTTGTGCCGGGCCACTTTGCTGCTTTCACGAGGGAAGAGAGAGTCCCGGGGGGGGGGGGGGGGGGGGGGGTTCGCGGCCCCTTTTCTTGTAAAACCCCCTTCCTTCCCCCCCCCCTGGGGGGGGCCCCCCACTTTGGTGGCCCAACTCCGGAGGGGGTTTTTTTTTTAAAAGGCCTTTTTTCCCCCCGGGGGGGGGGTCCCCCCCCAAAGGGGTTTTTTTTTGAAGAAAAACCCCCCCCAGAAAAGCCCTTCCCCCCCCCAGGGGGCTCCCCTTAAAAAGGGGGTAAAATTTTTTTCAGGGGTTTTTCCAAAAAAAAGGGGGTTTGGTTGGTTTCCCCCTTTAAGGGGTTTTCCCCCCCAAAAAAGAGGTTTAAAAAGGGGGGGGGTTCCCCCCCCCAAAGGGTTTTCCCT